TTCGCTACTCTACCATATTCCATAGCCTCCTCTCACCCATGTACCTTGCCATCCCACCCCCCACATAAACACCAGTGCATGCCCTGTACCTGATAAGGATGAGGACTGCTTTTCTGTACTAGCAGTTCACCCTTCAGGAATGTTTAGCAATGTCTGGAAATATTTGTAATCATCTTAACTTGGGACAAGTGTCTATTGAGTAGATGCCAGGGATGCAGCTAAATATCCTGCAGAACAAAGAATTATCTAACCCCAAAAGTCAGAAGTATCAGGGAAATGGAGGAGGGTGAGAGAGGAAATCAAGGGAGAATAGAAACAAAATGTTTAAGGGACATAAAAATGGAAAATTATCTGTTGATAATATGTATGATAAAATCTTTGACTGGACCAATATACAGTGCATTTGTGATGGGAAAATTCATTTGGTGTGCTGCAATGATACACAGTGATTGAATGAAAAAAATAATTAAAGAAAAGAAAATGAAAAAATAAACCATGCTCTACACCTTTATCTCTTATCTCTACCTAATTCCCAGTCCCATGGCAGATGCTGTAATGAAATGGCCTGAACTATCCACACATAATCCCATACCTCAGCTGCCTTCCCACCTTAGTCTTATGTTCTATTTTTAAAAAGAAAGAGAAAGAAAGAAAGAAAGAAAGAAAGAAAGAAAGAAAGAAAGAAAGAAAAAGAAAGAAAGAGTCTATCAGATTTATGCTTACACATCATGGTTTGTTTAGTCATTCATGCATTTTTTAAGGTTCAGGCATATAGTTGTTAATCTCCTTTGCTAAGTCTGGCAGTGTGTTATGTACCTGGAAAATACAGTCCTAATATCTTTTTTTTTCTTTTTCCTTTTTTTGGAGAGGTTTTTGCTATAGGGCGTGTGCACTCACCAGAAAGACAAGAGAGACAGAGAGACAAAAAGTGAGAAATCACCCCCCGAGGGGGAAGGCCACACTGAAATCCCTTCTCTTCCATTCTCCCCTCGGGATCCTGGGCACACACGCACACACACCTGGCCTGAGTTTAACCCACTGGGTCCAGGACTCGAACTGCGGTCGACTACATGGGAGTCCAGCGACATAGCCATTACGCTAACTGCTGGTCCCAGTCCTAATATCTTGATAGTCACATTTGATCCCCAGTATATAAAATTTAAAAAAGGAGCTGAACTTTTTCCTGCATTCACCTGTAGTTGTATGTGTGGAATTACAGATCCAAGGAGATATGTGTACATGTAGGACAAAGTATGTCTATGACAGTTTATGGGCATAAAATTTGTAAGGACCAAAGCTTGTCTATGTATTCTCTTTTCATTCTGTTTTCAACTCTCTGTGTAACAGGGTATTTTCCCTCCCCATCTCTATCTTAGCACAGACTCATTCCCCATATCTCACGCTATTTCCAACAGCTCTAGCAGTGTAATAAAGTCTCACCTTGATTTCCAAATATATCTCAGAGGCTGAACTTAAAAAGCATCATCTGACATCTTCTGGGCTCACACTTTCCTAACCAAGGAATAGACATTTATAGTGATGTACTAGCCCTGATTCCACTGGGATGGATACCATAGTCTCTGTGGGCTTTTGGCACAGACTGAGTGATATTCACTAGAGAACTCACCCTCTCTACACTGGAGCTATGAGGAGGGTGTCATCTACTCTCTCCTATGCAATGATAGATTATGTATCTTTTCTGCTTTCAAAAATGAAGAATGAAGTCTAAATTTCCACTTAACAACTGGACAGTGAAGATGGCTCTTTGCCATTTTTGATAACAAGTTCCATCAGTTTTCTATCATTTTTTGTTTGCATCATCTCTATTATAGCATAAACTAGGTGGGTAAAAGACTGACTAAGACAATAACAACAGGAGAGGCCAAGGTCCTGGAGACAAGAAAGTTCACCAAAGTTAGCAGAGCTTCTATTCACCCTTTCTCCGTTGGTTTAATAATTATATGAGCAGGAACAGGCTAATGATCAGGGGAGAGAGAAACTACTCAGACAAGAAAACTTGCAGAACATTGTGAGAATATGAGTGCTAAGGGGGAAAAATGCATTTGGATGTATCAAAAGCAGCCAGAACATGAAGAAAGAACCAAGATGACCAAGTGAAAAGGGGTAAAAAAATGAGCCCAAAAGCCTACAACATTCTTCTCATAGAGTAAATTTCTTCTCAAAGGATATCAAAACAGTTGCACCTAATCAGTTGCATACAAGAGCAGAACTTTCTATATGAGTTTTAAACAAGTGAGATCAAGATTCTGAAGCATTTCTTTAAAGAATTATAAAGTAAATGTAGCATGGCTTTATCAGTATGACCCCGAAGACAAAGCACAATCAAAGCCATGGCTACAAAGAATGGAAGTAGTCTAGTCAACACAAAAGCAGACTAGTAAGAGCAAAGGCCATAGCAACAGCTTTATTTGTTTGTTTTTTTATTTTTATTTTTATTTTTTTGTTTTGGATACTCAGCATGTTGCATGTTGACTTTCTAGGCAGCCAAATTGCAATATCATCTGTTTATTTTAAGGGCGTTTTACAAAGCTAGCTGAAGCTTTGCAAAAAAGCATCACTAGAGTCTACACCATGCCAATGCTCTTGCTCATATTTTCATCAAAGAAGGGCAGTTTTGTGACATTTAATGGGAAATTGGCATCCACATTCCAAATATAATTTTGTTTCATCTAAATTCTTTTTGTTCCATATCTTTAAAAAATATATTTAAAATACACCCATTTTTCATCACCTAATAATGTAAAAATCTGCATTAACATGGTTAAATTACTGAATGCTCAGTTTTTTTGATGGTCTAATTGATTGGTACCATCATTTACAAAAATATCTTGGGACCAGTAGGTGGCATAGTGGTTAAGGTGCTGGACTCCCTTGTGACAAACCGTGGTTCGAGTCACAAACCTGGCAGTTTGAAACTCAGGCTGAGCACATGTCCACGTGCACCCAAAATCCCGAGGAGAGAATAGAAAAGATATTCTTGCATGGCTATCTTCCCTGGGAGATGATTTCTTGCTTTCTGTCTCTGTCTCTTTGGCAAGTGCACACACCCTATAGCAAAAATCTTTAGGGAAAAAGAAAAACCCTTGAACTTCATGAGCTTATGATGAAAAATAAAGTTTATATATTTTAATCTTTATCTTTTTGTTTTTAAGTTTTGCTATAAGGATGCACGTGCTTGGACAATAGAGACAGAGATTGACAGAGAGAGAGGGAAAGTGAAAAATCACCTCCCAGGAGGGATGTCCATGCAGCAATCCCTTCACCTCTATTCTCTTCTAGGGTATTTGCTCACACAGTCACATGTGCATAGCATAATTTTCAAGCCACTAGGTCCAGGACTTGAATCATGGTCAACCATGTGAGAATCCAGTGCCTTGACCTCCACACCACCTGCTAGTCCAGTCTTTATCTTTGTATTCTATTTTCAATTAACTTTTTGATATACTCTATATAAATTATATATATATATATATACATATATATATATATATGTATGTTTACATAATAAGCACAGTTTATTTTTGAAAACAAATACCATATGTATACTCTATTATTTCCTATTTCCTATAATGCAAATTTTTAATTCCATGACTAGACCTGCTTCTCTGTGTGAATGGTGATAATTATGGAAGCTCTGGTATAGGGTCAGAATGAGGAATGAGTGTGTGTGTACAAAATATACTTACTGATATTGCTCTCCACATCCATAGTGCCTTTCATAGTACGCTGATATACTGTACTTAGGTAAGTTATTATTATGTTAATAATCTTAACACAATATATTCTATATATAATCTGTTGGAAAATACATGTTATTCTTTATTACATTACATTAATAATTTTTGTGTACTATAAGAAAAGCATAACAGTTGGAAAGCATTTTATTTGTCTTATATCACTACTTAGCATTAAATATTGAATTTGAGTAAATCATGAACTTTCCCAAGCATTAACACATTAATCACAAAAGTAAAAAAAAAAAAAAGTACTGTATACTTTATAAGACTATCTTGAGAATCTAGCAATACAAGGAAAAGTACTTTTAAAAGTATATTTTTAGGGATTAGCAGGTAATGTTGTGGTTAAGGCACTGGACTCCCACATGACCAACCATGATTTGAATCCCACACCTGGTGACTTGCTTTCTAACTTTCTCTCTTTCTCTCTCATGCACACAAAATTTTTAAATAATAATAATAAATAAAAATAAATAAATAATTTTTACAGTATATTTTAATTCAAAGTTCTGTATCTTACCATTACCCTTAAAGTAAAAGCTTCAGTCCATGAATGAATAATGTTACTGACTGCAACATTCCCCTCTGCTTTTCTGCTTTCTATTGGGTAACAAATTAAAAAATACATAAATAGGGACCAGCAGTTAGTTTAATGGCTATGTCGCTGAACTCCCATGTAGTCAACTGCGGTTTGAGTCCCAGACCGGGTGGCTTAATCTCATGCCAGGCTTTTGGGCATGCGTGCCCAAGATTCTGAGAGGGAGAATGAAGGAGAAGGGATTGCGGCATGGCCATCCCCCCACTGGGGGGTGATTTCTCTCTTTCTGTCTCTCTGTCTCTCTCTCTCTTTTCAGGCAAGCACACATGCCCTATAGCAAAAAGCCTCTCCAAAATAAATAAATAAATAAATATACCTACTTTAACAGTGGAGAAAGCATGATTTGTAAGGCAATTCCCAGCCAACTGTGGTGGCTCCCATTACACTATGCTCAGAGATGCTAAAACCATGTTGATAAGATCCGAAATTTGTGTCCCAAGGACACCTTGCACACATTGGGTGGCTGTGCATAACCTGATCCTGTCTGGATAATGTTGAGGTGGATTGTGGTGTGAAGAACCTGTTGGGCATGCCTCTCTCTTCATAGGAAAAATAAAATCACATATGTATATATCTGTGAGTATGTGTGAGTGTGTGTGTATATGTATGTATTTAAAATGACAAATGTCCCAACCACAAATTGCTTAGCAATCTCTCTGGAAGAATATTCGAAGAAATCCTTTTCGAATTTGATTGGTTTTAACCCCATAGATTATAGGATTCAGGGCTGGTGGTACGACCACATATAAATTGGCTAAGAAAATGTGAATATATTGGGGTATATTATGTCCAAAACGATGTGTTAAGAAAGAGAAAAACGCTGGTGTGAAAAAGGCTAAGATCACACCAATGTGGGAGCCACAGGTGTCGAGAGCTTTGAGCCGAGCCTCCTGGGATGGGAGGTGGAAGACTGCATAGAGGATCCTGATATAGGACAGAATAATAAGAAGCACATCCAATATTAAAAGGCAGACATTACTAAGGCCAAATATGATGTTAATTTTGATGCTGGCACAAGCGAGGCGGGCAATGCCCATGTGCTCACAATAAGTATGAGGGATGACTCGGTGACCACAGAAGGGCAGCCTCAGGAGGAGAAACACCAGAGGAGCAACCATGTACAGGCTCCGCAGGATAGCAATGCCGGCAATGAGGCTGATGGTCTTGCTGGTGAGGATCATGGTGTACTGAAGGGGTTTGCAAATGGCGATGTAGCGGTCAAAGGCCATGGCCAGCAGCACAATGCTCTCCATGGCAGTGAAGAAGTGGATGAAGAACATCTGAGAAAGACAGCCTCCAAAAGATATTTCCCTGAGACCAAACCAGAAGATGCCCAGCATTTTTGGGATGGTGGCTGTGGACAAGCCCAGGTCGATGAAATCCAACATGGCTAGGAAGTAGTACATGGGCTCATGGAGACTGCGCTCAGTCTTGATCACGAAGAGGACAGCAGTATTCCCCAGAAGTGCAATGAGATACAGACAGCAGAAGGGGAATCCAATCCAGACGTGAGCATGTTCCAGCCCTGGGATGCCCAGCAACAAGAATGAAGATGGATGAAACTCGGTGTCATTAGGCAAAGACATTCTTTCTGCCACAAATAACTATTGTGTAATTAATTATTTGCTTCACTTTAGTGATCTTGTTCCACATCTCACTCTATTCTAATTCCTGTTAAAATGTAAAATAAATTTTGTTATATTACTTCTTCTCTTTACAGAAAGAATATAATTTACAATATTCTTCTAGCCTCATTTGAGTGTTACAGAACTACAAATTAAATCTACTAAGTCTTTTACCACTTTGCTTATTAAAACCTATTACACAGGAAGAAGGGAGGGGAGGGAAATCTTGGTTTAGTTAATAAAAATTCATAATAACAATCAATGTCAATGGATTAAACTCTCTGGTCAAGAGACACAGACTGGCTGACTGGATTAAAAATCAGAAACCCTCCGTCTGCTGCCTACAAGAAACCCATCTCATGGATAAAGACATGCATAGACTAAAAGCGAAGGATTAGAAAAAGGTATTCCATGTAAACTGAAACCAAAAAAGAGTGGGAGTCACTATACTGATTTAGGATAAAATAGTCTTTACAACAAAAACCATAAGAAGCTACAAATAAGGGCATTATACAGTAGTAAAAGGACTAATTCACTAAGAAGATATAATGCTTATAAATATCTATGCATTGAAACTCAGGAGCACCCAAATATTTAAAGGAAAGATCACTAGATCTAAAAGGAGAGATAGACTGAAACACAATAAATTTTGGATATATCAACATCCCATTAGCTCCTTTAGACAGATCAATAAGACAAAAAAAAGAAAAAAAAAAAACAAGCAAAGAGATTCAGGATCTAAATGATACTATAAGTCAGATGGACTTGATAAACATCTATACAACTTTCCATCCAAAACAACAACAACGAAAAACAAAATACACATTTTCCTCATCCCTGCATGGTACTTTCGCAAAGACTGACCACATAATAGGGCACAAAACCAGTCTTTACAAATTCAAAGGCACAGAAACGATATACAGCATCCTCTCCAACCCTGATGGAATTAAACCTGATATTAATCTTGGGAAAAAACTTCAAAAATACACAAATACATGGAAACTAAAAATCTACCTCTAAATGACTTCATGACTACTGAAGAGATTCAGATTGAAATCAAAAGATTCATGGAAACAAATGATAATGATTGCACAAGTTTCCATAATTCAGAGAATACTGCAAAAGCAATTATAAGAGATAAATTCAAAGCAATTAGTGCACACAAGAAACAGATGGAAAGGGGCAAAAGGACAACCTAATATCATGCATCAGGGAATTGTAAAAATGACAACAGAAATACAAAAAAATGCCAGGAGAAAAGAAATAATAAATATTCTAGCAGAAATCAATGAAATAGAAAATAAGTGCACTATACAGAAAATAAATGAAAGTAAAAGCTGGTTCTTTGAAAAGATAAACAAGATTGAAACATCATTAGCTAGACTAATTAAGAAGAAGAGAGAAAGGAACTAGATAGATCAAATTTGCAATGAATCAGGCAACATTTCAACAGACATACAAAAATACAAAACATTATTAGAGGATACCAGGAGTGAATATATGACAACAAAGAGGAAAACCTGGATGAGATGGACAAGTTCCTGGACACATATAATCTATCAAGATTGACTCAGGAGGACTCAAAATCCTGAACAGACCTATAACCAGCAAAGAGATTGAGTCAGTAATAAATAACCTCTCAATGAAGAAAAGTCCAGGTCCCAATGACTTCACTGCTGAATTTTACAAAACTTTTAAAGAAAAGGTAACCCCTCTTCTACTGACACTGTTTGTAGAAATCCAAAGGAAGGAACCCTTCCAAGTTCATTCTATGAAGCCTCCATTACCCTAACTCCCCAAACAGATAAAGATACAACAAAAAAAGGAAAACTACAGACCTATATCTCTGATGAATAAAGATGAAAAAATTCTCAACAAGATACTTGCTAACCGTATCCAACAGTATATAAAAAAGGGTATTCATCATGACCAGGTAGGCTTTATTTCAGGGATGCAAGGGTGGTTCAACATACACAAAACCATAAATGTAATTTACCATATTAACAGAAAGATAAAAACCATACGATCATTTCGATCGATGCAGAAAAAGCATTTGACAAAATACAACATTCCTTTATGATTAATACTTTCAAGGAAATTGGCATAGAATGATCATTTCTCAGCATAATGAAAGCCATCTATGAAAAACTTATAGCTAACATTATACTGAATTGTGAAAAACTGAAAACTGGTACAAGACAAGACTGCCCACTTTCTCTGCTCCTAGTTAATATAGTACTGGAAGTCCCAGCCAATACGATCAGACAAAAGAAGGACATAAAAGGGATTCCAATAGG